AACGATATGGCCAATTGCATTGTGAGTCACATCTCAGACGTGATCAAGTCAATCGTCATCAATGCCGTGAACGATGTTCTCTTGAGGCTAGAATCATCCAATCAACCACCACTATCCATTCGCCCATTTTAGCCGTCCAAATATCATCACCACTCGTTCATTAACTTAAGTATCGAACAGCCGATTATCACATACATGGACGCCCTAACTCTGTTATCTATATGTGCAACTGATCAATTCATGACTGTTCGAGCCATATTCTTTGGCCGGAACATCGATATCTAATCTTCATAACCTAGCAAACGGGTCTTTCTGGTCGATCTAGAAAAGTACAAAGGGACCATCTCGCGAAATTTAAAATTTACAGAATCGCTTCACCGCTAACCTAAAGCACAAATCGAACACATCGAGGCACCCATTTTCCTTTTTCTTGTCATCAAAATGGCTGGTATCGCGCCGTGGTTCATGTCATCCACAGTGCAAGATCGAACCTTAGGCTAGTGGCAAAGATTAACTAAGCACTTCCTTGTGATTCACGCTCTACTATTGTCCGATTACTACGCGCAAGGTACATGGTGGGGGATTGCGGATGAACGAAATTTGCTGCGAAGTTATTCTTCGTTTGACCTGCAACAGTGATGCACATGGGTCTCAATGATTGCACTAGAAAGTCATCATGTATCCCAAAAGCCTTTATCCCGAGGCAGGCTGTGTCTCTCCTGTCCATTTGAACTGTTGATAATGTTATTTTGATGCTTTACTTATGCTAGGGCAAGAGCAACTAGGTCAAACACGTGAATTTTTGTATTTGACTTGTATTTAATTCGGAAATGTCACAAAGTCGCGGATGAGTTAGGGTATGCTCACTAGGAGTAATCAGTTCCAGGCGGTCCGATTTTCAGGTGGGCCAATGAAATCGATGACATGTTTTATTTTATTTTTTAAACACGTAGTCCGTAATCCATTGCAGGATCTTTTTTTATGAGAATGATGTTAAACCATTCATGGAAATTGGTATTAGATACGGGCCCCATCACAAGGGTTATCAAAACAATCCTATTCCGTGCAAAATTGATCTCGATCCTTTGCAATAAGCTCATAGATAAAGGAAAGTAACATGATAGGATACAAGCAGAGGATAAGAGTCGTGCATACTTAGAGCTTTCTACAGATTCGATCAGTTCAGTTCGAGCGGGCGGTTCCACACATGGAACGGGGAACCGGACCAAAAATCGCCGGCTCAGAAAAAATTGAAATCTCGAACTGGGACCGGTGCCTCCTTGAACTGCCGAAAACCGGTCAGTCGGGGTGGGGGGGGGCGGTCCCTTTTGCACGCCCCATCCCCATCGTTCACAGCTCCAATAACCATGACAACAATAACAACAGCAAAACTCCAACGAAGGTGGCGTGCATGGCCGGTGGGACTTCCGAATATAAATCTTTCCCCACCCCTTACTTTGGCAAGACGGAAGTGGTCGCGCGGCACCGACCCCCCCGGGACGTGGCCCGACCGCGACCCGCCGGAAGCATGCTCGACCCATTTTAATACTCCCCCTCGCTCAAACCGAACCCCGCATTTAAAAAGCGGCCGCCTCCTTTCCATGCCCGCGAAGCCACGCCGTCTCGTCCCGATGCATCGATTTAAAATACACCCGAGATACCTCTCGGTTCGCACCTGCGCGAGATCCGAACCGGCTTTGCCTCCCTAACCACTCGCTGAGCCCGCGACGTCACGTGCGGTCCCCGCCCCGCCCTGGCCCAAAGCTCGTTTCCCTCCGTAAACTAATGAGATGGTCACGCACAAGAAACGACCAAACTAATCCCGATTTTGGTTAATTAATTAATTAGTTAAGCCACACTAATCATGGGATTAGTTTAATTGGGCTATTCCCCGCACCCAACAGCGTCGGAGGGGCCATCGAAAATTCCACGCACGCCAAAAACGATGTTTTTTTTTCAAGGAAGATGCGAGAATCGACGTCGACGTGGCGCATGCCGGGTCGGGCGGTTGGGCTCTGGGACGCGTAGCGCTGTCTTCCGACGGCCGACCCGACGGCCTCCTCTGGGTCCTCGCGGACGACCGAGAGATTATACGGGAATTCAAACGCGTTTTTTTTTTTTACGACGTTCTAATGATTTGATTTGGAGAAGTCTTGGGTGCTTTTTATGGACTTTTTTTTATGGGTCAATTAATTTTAATTAATTAATTGATTGATATTTTCCCGACTTCTAAAATCAAGAGGCTTAATGCTCTCCCGGGATTCTTGACTCGCGCTTTTTTGACTTTTTCAATGTAATTACGTGAGAAAATAATTGAATCTGTCGAGACCAAATTTGAAAGAATCAACGCTGCAAATGTGAAATTGTAATAATAATATAAACACTTTGGTATGTAATCAATTATTATTTTGAGTAAGTACCGCAAAAAAGGGTAATTTTTTTATTTAAAAAAATAGCTATTTTCTTATATTTAGTGCGGATTTAATAGGTAAAGGCCAAGAATGATGAGCCGAAATTGGAGTCAAAAGTCACGGCACGCGAATTCATGTTACAAGGTTTTCGAGCACGGGCAAAATGTTTTTGGCGAAGAGAATGATGCTATTGTCCTTAAGAAAAAGGAAAAAAAAAATTTGCGCCGGAAATTTCATGACTTGTTTGCTAAAATACAAATTAGTCCTGAAATTTTTTCGAAAAGTGCAATCATGTGATGAAATTTGTCAGGTCGATACAGTCGGGTCTTTCCGTTGATTTTATCCGGCTTGGCTAACTTGAAAATACCGACGCGATTTTTACCGTTTCGTTAAGCTACGCGGTGCCGGTATCATTAGGACTCGACCGCACCAATTAAACTCTTTCGAGATGAGTTTCGGGGCTTCCGGTGCGATTCTCCCGAGAAGGAAAAAAAGGAAAAGACAGTTTTAAACGACGTTCGACCGGACCGAAACGAGTGAATGTTCATTTGTTTCCCTGTTGCTGACAGACTAAACCCGTGTGCAATGATAAGATCTTTTGGGCCTAGTTGTCGTTGATTAGTAGTAGTACGGTCCAATCATATAATATAAGATTAAGTCGTTAGCTTATGTTAAAACCGCGATGCATTGGGGGTTGTTAGGATTAGAGGGCCCCCACCATGATCGTAAATGTTGACCTTTGATTTGGAAAACGTTTAATGACCAAATTAATCATAGCAATAAGAGGGAAAGCTTGTCGAGAATGATCACCTCTTGATTTCATTCGAAGGGGACGAAAGTGGAAAGAGAAATTATGACCCTTCCAAATTATTTGGAACCACCCTTTGCTTTGCACTCCTTGATTGGTAAAAAACAGCAAGCATGGTAGGAAATTATATATATAGGTACTTATCATGTTTGGACCACCTGCCCAGAAATTAATTTAACTGTTATCTTAGAATCCCATATTGGGACCACCCCACCCAGAAATTAAATTTGATTGCGATAAGAAAGTAGGGAAAATTGCCCCCAATTAATTCAAGAGTTAATTCGGTCCTAAACTTTCCAATTTTACCGATTGAGTCTTGAACCTTTGCTCAGCAATTCCAATTCAATCAGAACCACCCACCCAAAAATTAATTTAATCGTGACGAGAAAGTAGAGAAAATTACTCAATCGGTTCGGGTTTCAATTCAGTGCTGAACTTTTCAATTTTACCGACTGATTCTTGAACACTTGCTTAAAATTTCAATGTAGTCATCCTGGTCATTTTTCATCGGCAATCATTGGCATAAAAAGTGTTGACACAAATGTTTTGGATCCAATTGAAAAGTTTATGATTGCATTGATATTCATATAAAAAGTTCGAAACTGATAGGATCATTTCTCCCAAGAAAGTAAATACCCCCGATTGAAATATAACTATGTAAAAACAAAGCAATATACCCTTTCGAATTCTTTGGGCATAATTACCATACACGAATCAATTCGTCAACATTCCGATGTAAAATAAAAAAAATCCATTTATCGTCATATATTAATTTATTAGCGTATATGTATTTCCACAGGATCGAAATTGCCTCGTGCTTTCATGGATCGACATTGCTTGGAGCTTATCTTTTCCTCTAGATGAAAGGGTGGTGCTCACGGTTCCGGTCTCTTTGATTGTTCTAGAGAGATTTTTTTCCCAACCAAATCACACCCATTAACGCGGGGAAAAATTCTAATTTTTGTTTTCTATAAAATTATTAAAATGAAATTGTTCGAGGACTACGAAAAATCAAGGTTCCACATGCAAATATCCGGGGGCACCAAAATTAAAAAATTCTAATTTTTTTTTGTTTGGGTCATGAAAAATCTATTGAAGCGAAAGAAACTATCGATTAATTACGATTTCGACCACCGATTCCCAACTTTTTTTTCACGGAAGCACCCCCGCGGTCGAGGGCTTCACGTTAATCGCGTGAAACGAGGCACCAGGGAAAATAAATTTTTTCAAAACCCCCCCGTGACCTTGAAAAATAAATTTAAAAAAAAATTAAAAAGAGGAGAAATTAGATGGCGACGACGATGACGTGGCGGGGGGGAGTTGCGTGCGCGCGGGCGAGTCCACGATGCCCGGGGGGGGGGGTTCCGTGCTGGCAAGTGGCAGTCCCAATCCAATAATGACCGGAAATTAAGAAAAATTAATCATGATTATCCGGTATTTAATCATTTCTTTTTTTATAATTTAAATTGAATTTTCAAATTTTACTTTCTTTTTTATCTTATTCTCTCCGCTCTTATATATATATATATAAACATCGAGAGCTCTGATTAGCACGACGCTTATCAACGAGGAAGCAGCAGCAGAAGCAGAAGAAGAAGAAACAGAGCGATCAGCATCCGTACGACCCGACCGGAAAGTCTCCGGCGACGACCGGTTACCCTCCTCACCCTCGCCGCCGGTTTCCAGCTCCGTCTTCTTCTTCTTCTTCTTGCGCCGCCGCCGGCACCGGGAAGCTTCGCGGAGGACCCACCGGCTGTGCAGAGGGAGAGAGGGAGGAGGGAGAGAGGGAGGAGGGAGGAGGGGGGAGAGGTTTTTACATGGTGAAGAAGGAGGAGGAGGCCAAGGGAATGCGACTGGGGAAGTACGAGCTCGGGAGGACGCTGGGGGAGGGCAATTTCGGGAAGGTGAAGTTCGCCGCGGACGTCGAGTCCGGCCAGGGGTTCGCCGTCAAGATCATCGACAAGGCCAAGATCATCAACCTCAAGATCACCGATCAGGTAGGCCAGTCGGCCCCCGATTCGGCTGTGAGGCGAGGCGCTCCGGTCGATCCCCGCCGCCGGTTCCGCGGGGGGATCGATCGGCTCTGCCCCTCTCGGGTTCCGTCGCGGATTTTCGGTTTTGAAACTTTTGAATCGTCTCGAGTTCTGCTCTGCTCTCGTCGCTTTCCGTTCGTCATCGTCTCGGCCGCATTTGGCGAGTCGGAAGCACTTTTCCTTCGCCGGGAAATCGGTTCTCATTTCCGGTTCGATCGCTGATTTCTCTCGACTTCCGGTTTTCGATCGTCTCGAATCCTCTGCTTTCTTCGATCGATAACCGAAATCTGCATCGACCATTGTCCCCCGCAGCATTTCGCGAAGTACACACACGGCACGTTTCTTTTTGCTTCCGAAGCGGCTTTTCCGTCGCGAGTCCGTCGTTGGTTTTTCACTCTAGATCGTCTCGATCTCCGCGAGTTCGTCACGCGATCTGTGCTTCCCTCGTGAAACCGCGCTCGAATTCTGCTTTTTTTCCAATTTCGAATCCACAACTCCTCAGTTTCGGCCGATTGAAAAGCTCGTGTGGCGGTCATCTTCTTTGCAGTTTTATTCAAGCCTCGGAACTGAAATTGACGGATTTTAATTTGCTTGTGGTGACGCAGATAAAGCGAGAGATCGGCACATTGAAGCTCCTCAAGCATCCCAACGTGGTCAGATTGCACGAGGTAAGCAAAAGCTACAGTCTTTCTAGCTTCTTCCCGTTCAAACTTCTGTGATCAATCTGCCACGCATCGAAATCCTTATCGTCTAGCTGGCCATGGAAAAAGTTAAAAAAAAAAATGAAAACTTTATTGCCGTGTAGAAGCGGAAGCAAAGAATACATTCCTTGCCCCGCATCGTGAACCTCTTTTACCCTTTTTCCTAGTCTTGGGAAACACCCTTTTGAGTAAAAACAAGGAAAGGATTTTCTTTTATCTCGATATAGAAAAACATCCCGTCGTCGTTCAGGGGGGGCGATTCTGGATCTGCTTATCGAGCGTCTCGGGGGCGCTCGATAAAAGCTTATCCGAAGTAAGTAATTGTTGATCTCGAGAAAAAGGGATGAAGTCTTTTTTCATCATCAAGATAAAAACAGTCACGATCATGCGGGAATAGTCACTACCCCGAAGCCTAATATCTTAGGGGATTATTATTAGGTCCACCGTGGGCGTGAAAATCTTACGTATTCGTCGTCGGATGAATAATCCGTGTCGAATTAATTCTTTTTTGTAATTAAGATTTTCCACTTATTAAAGATCCAATGGATGCATGAATTACCCTTTTAAGCCCAAAATGGAATTGGGTGGGTAGGTGTTGGTGGTTGGTTGACTTGGGCAAAACCCGGAATTATCTCTGCAAACCCCAAGCCAGGTTTTTTTGGGGGTGTGGCAGCGGCAGGCGGGCGGGTGGGGTCCTCCCATACTTTGACTCTTTACTAAATCCAGAAGCCCTTGAACGCCATTATTATACTAGTATTATCATCATCCGGTCCACTCATGTCCACCATGATCTCACAGTTGGCGCTGTGAACATTTATCGATATTTAGTCACCGTATTCAATTCATCTGTCATTTCGGATTAGGGGAGATGAATCCTAAGCTTGATTTATCAAAAGATTTGATTGATCCTCGGCCAAACAAGGAAAAAGAATCAAGATTTGATATTTAAAGGGGGTGGTCGTCCTGTTGCCCAACTGGGTCCTGTCGTTGTGGCTGAGGATGGTTGGCTTTATCTGTTGGGGTGACGTGCCGGGGCACCGCAAGTTGGATTGCCCACAGTGCTCGTGCGTTGCATCTCTTGGAAGCTGAATGAGGCCGATTACTGTGGACCATATGGACATGTATGAGGATGACCTGTGTGGACTCTTGTGATGCTTTAGACGTTCATGTTTTGTTTGGGAAGGGAGGGGAGGGGGAGGAAGATGAGTGGTGGTGCGTTAAATCGGGTAGTTTTTTCTAAGCTTCTGTAAGGAGAGAAGGATAGAAAATTTGGAATATTCTCTGCACCATTAGAAATCGGCCTTACACTAACGACATCCTTGAAGCCCAACTTAGGAAAGGAACATGGAACATTACCTGATACATTGGACTCGGTCGGCATTTTGTGGTTGGTGATTCTACTGGTCGGTACCTCCCCTGGATGACACCACCAACCGTTCCAACTATTGTCACCTCCATTCGAATGGAGAGTCGAGGCTCCGTGAATGATAACGGCATGTCCCTGTCCAAGTCTAGTGGGACCGTGGCTTGGAACGCTAAAAATAGAAGCCTCCTCCCAGAGTCCAGATCACGTTCCAACCACCTCTTTGAGCCTGAATAATAATTATTTCGCGCACCTGGCTGATGTTGGGCCATGATATTTTTTGGACCATTAAATCTGGTGGATCCTAAATGAGATTGCTCCGGTTCATCGGTGTTAGGAGCCGGGGGCTTGATCTGGCTTGCCGTAATTTTTGCCCCCATGATTGGTCATCCATCTGGATAAGGTCTGACTTGTGTAGCCACAATGCGTTATCCACTCGATGATTAGGCATGGAATTGTTTGATGTATGATTTTTTGGATTATTCTGCGAGACAAACAGTAATGAATGGTGTTCAGATATTCGAAGCCAAAATGTGGACCTTAAGATATCTGTTAAAAGTCCTGTCAACCTTAAACTATTCATCCACTTGCACATGCACTATGAGAGTTCTGAATTGGACGTCCACTTGCTGAATTGCAGTATGAGGAATCCCTGGGTTTTGGGTTTTTGGCGTTTACTCTGCACTTCCTTTTGCCTGGTTAGGAGATCATCTGGTCATCCTTACAATCGAAAAGATGCATGAATTCAAGCATGAATGATCCTCCAGATCAAAAAAATTCTTTAATTATATGTTTTTCTCATTCGCTAATCACAATTAATTGTGACGGGACAGAAAATGCGATGCAAAATTAGTAGCAACCTTTTAGCATTTCGAATGAAATGTGAAAAAAGGCTCTTTGGTGTTATATATCATCACGGAAGGAATCATAAAGCATAGCCTCCTTATTTTGCACTTTTCTGCCTTCATGTGCTTTGGATTTCGTCATTCCTGATACAGAGAGCTAATGGTCATATATATTCAATGGATGATGATGCAGGTCTTGGCGAGCAAAACCAAGATTTACATGGTCCTGGAATATGCAACGGGGGGAGAACTGTTCGACAGAATTGTGAGGACTTTTGTGCCTGCCTGTTTTTTTGGAACTACGTACATCCTAGACCTAATTGTCTGATCACTAAGATGCTTTTAATTTTTCTTCCCCTTCAGGCAAGTCGGGGAAGGCTTCCTGAAGCTGAAGGGAGGAAGCTCTTTCAGCAACTAATAGATGGTGTTAGCTACTGTCACGACAAAGGTGTTTTCCACCGAGATCTCAAGGTTTATTTCTTTTGTCTTTCTTGAGGCATTGGATCATTTTGCAATTCAAGCAAAATTGAGACAGAATGCATTGTGGCCTCGCTTGCTTTTTTTCGACACTCTTCACTGTCATTCTGACAAGGAGTTCCATTCTAAAACTGCAGCTGGAGAATATTTTGGTTGATTCAAGGGGAAACATAAAGATCACAGATTTCGGCCTTAGTGCTTTACCCCAGCATTTTAGGGTACAATTGCTCTTTTAGACCCTGATGGTGACTTTATTCTTTTCAATCCATATGTTAGTTTGGGTAATCCTATCTAAATATCAGGATGATGGATTACTTCATACCACCTGTGGGAGTCCCAACTACGTCGCTCCGGAGGTTCTTAAGAACAGAGGATATGATGGGTCAACCTCAGACGTGTGGTCATGTGGTGTTATACTTTACGCCATTCTGACTGGGTATCTCCCTTTTGATGACAGAAATCTGGCTGTTCTCTATCAAAAGGTAAACACAATTTGTTCACTTTTTTTTCTCTAACATGTGCACTTGTTATGCTTGTCGTAGCGTATCTAACATAGGGTGCTATTACTTTTGTGGCATTTTAGATATTCAAAGGAGAGGCTCATATCCCGAAATGGCTATCCCCAGGTGCCAAGAGTCTTATAAGGCAAATTCTCGATCCCAATCCTGTCACCAGGTTAACTATGGATGGTATTAAAGCAGACAATTGGTTTCGACAGGACTATAATCCTGCAAACCCTGACGACGAAGAGAGCATTTTTATTGACGACGAAGCCTTTTCCATGCAGGAAGTGGTATGCTGATTTTTGTTCGACCTTAACTTCTTCTATTTAGATACATGCCAGTCCACATAGTGTAGGCTATATGATGACATGAGAACTGGTGAAGCTGTATAACAACACCAACAATCTTATTTTTTTCTTTCTGTGCAGACATCCGAAGGGGAGAAGAGTCCACGATCACCCACCCTTATCAATGCCTTCCAGCTAATTGGAATGTCTTCATGTTTAGATCTCTCTGGCTTCTTTGAAAAAGAGGTAAGAGAATCATGACTAGTATTGTAAACTCAATAAACAAAAACTCTAAGTTTTTTTTTTTTGGTCGAAAAACATAAACTCTAAGTTGAACTGCGAAGTAATGGTCCAACATGATTATTCAGGACATCTCGGAGAGGAAGATTAGATTTACATCCAATCATTCTGCGAAGGACTTGATTGAGAGGATCGAGGATACAGTGACGGAGATGGGATTTCGGGTTCAAAAGAGAAATGGGAGAGTAAGCATCTAATTCTCATAATCTGTTCACCCTGTTCATTTTTCCTTAAAATTGCGAAGGCAGTTTCAACAATGCCTCTTTTCTTGCTCAGTCGGCATTCTATTCTCTTCTACTCTGCAGACTGAAACTGATACTTCTTTTTTCCCAACTTTTAGTTGAAAGTAATGCGAGAACAAAAGGGTCAGAAAAGTCCGGGATCTCTTTCAGTTGCTGCAGAGGTAAAAGAACAATCGTATCTTGATGGGTTTTGTGCTCTGCTGAATACCATGTCCATCTTGAAAGGTTGCCAATTCCACTACCAACTATCGTTCTTGTGCTCACATCAGGTTTTCGAGATAAGCCCATCCCTGTTTGTAGTTGAGTTAAGAAAATCATATGGAGATTCTACAGTTTATAGACAGGTATACTCTCTCTCTCTCTTTCTCTGCTCTATACATAAAATAGTAGCATGTGGATCAGTTAGTTCGATCACTTTCATCTAACTCATTCTTGGGCATGTGCAGTTGTGCAAAAGGCTATCAAATGAGCTGGGCGTACCGCAAAACCAGCAGCTCCTGACCTCCGGATTGTAAATAGCGTTTGGTCCCCGGAGGAAGAGTTTTATTTTTTTTGTTTCACCGCACAGACCACTCGGGACTGTGAAGCAAGAGCTAGAGAGTGACATGAGGTCCGCTTGCACTGGCCCTCCCTCGCCACCTGTTGGCGAGCATCGTGTGATGAGAGAATTTCAGTACGAGGAACCCATTGGTTATCTTTACTGCGCTCAGGAGGCTCATGTTTTCGAATCCTGGCGATTCTGCGATTCTACAGCAAATGCCATAAGTCTCCAGGATTAGAGACTGTTTTGTTCAAAGAGAACTCGGTGGTCGGGAGTGCGAATGAACAAAAGAACACCGTGGGCTCGTTTCTCATAGTCATCAGCTTGGTCATGTGTAGATCTTCTAGGGTGGGCTATTATAGTCTCCAAGAGAGATCGTCCCTGCAAATTCTAGTCACGTATACCAGACATCTCTACTGTGAATAAAGGAGCAAAGTGGAAATGGGTTCGACCCATTAATTATTACCCTTGATAATTTCGACAGCAGTCCCTCTACTTTGCTCGAAAATCAAAGTCATTTAAGGCTTGAAGCTTGCAAAATGACTATATCGAGATGGGTTAACATAGACTGCGGCTGTCTCCATTCTTATTTGCCTGGTACACGTCCTTCTACAGAATTGCCCGAAAATCTCTCAAACCGATAAAAGTCAATTTTGGTAATGGATGTCTGTAATTATTTGGTTGTGATGTTCTTGTTTACATCTCGAGCCATTACTCCGTTTTTATTTTTTATGCATTGTCATTGTGCTCAAACTTTGAGAAGCAAAATAGAGAAGGCAACATTACTCAATTTTTTTTTTAACAAAAGACTATTAAAATGGGTAAATTTTATAGCAAGAGTAGTGCTATCTACGGTTCACACTTTAGATCAAATGCATCGATTCAAACATATTGCTACTACGACCAAGATGGTTGGCCTAATGATGAATGGGACATATATCTCATGCAAAGAGACTACCTAGCAGCCGGCATCTCGGGGGCTATGGTAATGGGCTCACCAACAAGGCACCCGCGGGTCGTGTAGCGGTGCAGGGTAGCTATTGGAAGTAGGCATCGGGCCCTATTTCGCGGCTGGAACGTGCCAGGCCCGGTATTTTTTTATGGATCCAATGGTTGGGCCCATGTGTCGTCGCCATCCTTGTTCATGCTCCGGTGATAAACTATCGAGTCAAATGGAAACCAAACCACACGCCCACAATACAGGATTGAGAGGTAACAAGCACGGTTCCCATCTGCTCAAAAGAGACTACCCAAGAATAAAACAGAGCAAAGGAGTGTTTCTCCACTTATCTGATGGTTTCGCTCCAGCCAGACCTAAACAAATAATAGAGTGAAAAGCTAAATAGAGTTCACCTGTTCAAACTGGCCACCAAATAAGCAGAGCGGTATCTTAAGTCTCACCTCCCGGGCCGGGTTTCCTCCTCAACCGGTGCATCAACCGACATCTTCGACCGGCATTTCACAATTTCGGACAGGGTTCGATTACTGCGCCGACTTAACTATGTCACTGCAAGTTTGGCAGTGTGACTGCCTTTCTCAAACAGATCCTGAACAACTAGTAACATCCCCAATTCTCATTGTCAAGGAATCCCGATTTCCATTGTCAAGAAATTCATTCTGTTGCAGATTCATAAACAATAAATCCACAATCTATCTCTCACAAGATAACCAGCATCGCATAAAACGACTTTGTGTTTTTTTCGGCTTCGTCCCATCATGAAGCCCGTCCTAGGATGCTAGGACAGAAGATGAGAGAGGCGCTCGACTTGGAAAAGAAACAGCTGCTGATGGCCACAGATCACGTGGTGAACATTCCAGAAATAGTAGAGACAAAGGAAACACCATAAAAAGGAAAGAAGAAAAATTGCCCAAGAGCAAAAATAAGGCAAGGACAAGCACTGTCACAATGTCTGGACAAAGTACTCAGCGCTTCATAAACAAATGGGACCAGGATCAATTTGAACATCTCCTAAGTTCATACATGAAAAGAGCCGTTTAACATAAAACTGAACCTAATTCCAGATACCTTTCTACATAAATCTCAAAAGGCATGCATATAGCACAAGGGAACCAGCATTTTAACTTCTAAAACTACTCACAGATTTCACTTCACCGGAGGCACAAAACAGCTTCAATTGGACTCTACCGTGCAAAGCACTTCCCCATGAATCAAGAATCAGCCTCGCTAACCAAAATTATTCTGTTGAACGTTATTGAGCCCGGCAACCGGCGAAACCGAATGCAACTTCTCTCCCTGTACACCCCCGGCAACCGAGACAACACCATTTGTCGGCGACGAACCCAAAATCCCATCAACCCCTTGATTCACCTTCTCGTTCTCCACAACCCTGGGCTTAACCTTATGCTCCGGCGCAAAACCAACCCCATTGGCAACCCCCACCTTCAAATCCCTCTCCTTCTCCTTCAGCGTCAAGAAGGCCACCCTCTCCAAGGCCTCCCTCGCCCTCTTCCTCGCCAGCGCCGCCTCCTTGACCCTCCGCTCCGCCTCGACCCTCGCGATGGCCGCGGCCTTGCTCATCGTGGCGCAGGCGATCTTCGCCGCCGCGACGAGAGCCTTGGCCGACTCCCTGTCGATCACCCTCCTCACGTCGTCCCTATCGTCCCCGAGGGGGGCGCCCCCCCGGGAGGCGACGACGGCCTCGAGGCCCGCGTTCGCCTCGACCCTCAACCGCTTGTCCTCCCCGTTGCTGGGGACCGGCCCGAGGGAGAGGAACCGGAACTTAGGGTTGGAGCAGAAGGGGCACTCGAAGTGGTAGTTGGGGTTGGAGCTGGAGGTGACGCAGGAGAGGTGGGAGATGGAAGGGCAGTTGAGGCACATGACGCGCTGGTTGGGGTGCGGGGGGGAGTCGATGGGGTCGAACACCTGGAGGCAGATCGGGCAGAAGTTGCCGCGGAAGCAGCTGAGGACGCAGTGGGTGCAGAGGAGGCGGTAGCCCGCCTTGTGGCGGACGTTGTGGAGGAGCCACCGCTCCCCCGCGCCGGCGCCGCACTCGCCGCACTGCTGCCGCCGCTGCTGCTGCTGCTGCTGCTGATGGCGGCCGCCGCCGTGGAGGTCGTCGTGGTCGCGCTTCATCGGAACCGCCGCATCGTATCCCCCTTTTCCCCCCTCCCTCGACCTCTACCTCTAGGGCAAAGAAGACACCGCCGGGGGACCCAACGGTAACCCTAGTAGAATCGGGAGAGAGAGAGAGAGAGAGGAGATTCTAGGGCAACGGGAAGCGGGATCGAAACCGGAGCCGAGGACCACCGGAAACGGCGGCGGATCGGAGGCGATCGACGGCGGAGGGACGATGGGGTTCCGAGAGATCCTTCGACTGGATTTTCGAGCAGAGGAAAATCGCTCGATTGGATTTGGGGAAGAAGAAGAAGAAGAAGAAGAAGGAAGAATGATTTGCTTCCACTGTTTTGAGCGTGCGTGCGTGTTTTATTATTATGTAAAAAAAAACTCGAAAAAATTAATTAACGAATATTGTAAGTATCTCTGTGGACCCGTTTTTTTTATATTTAATAGTCGCGGGAAAATGAAAATATAAAAAATATAATATTTTTCGTTCGGTGATAAAGCGAATATTTGGGTATTAAGTAACGTCGGTCTTATCGAGGGGGTCAAGATCATTGAATGTTGTTATTAGTAGATTTTTTTTTATGATTTTTGGTAATGTAGTAGTTAGGTAGGATTTTTAATTCCTATTTCGATGCCTTTTTTTTTTTTTCATTTTATGGATTAACAACCTTATCATTGCTATAAGGAATTCGGTGAGTTTATGAGTTAAAGCTCCGTTCGTTTCGAATACTTTTCTTAAAAAATGATTATTTATATCGCTGGAAATAATTAGTTTATGAACAGTAATTTATGTTCGAACATTTTTCGTGGACGATGAAGAATTTTTTTTTTCTGCTTTATTGATTTTTGCGAGAGATACAAATAATCATTTCTGAGAAATATTTTTCCAAATCATTCATTTTCCACGAAACAAACGATGCCTTAATTAAAATCTCTAAGTAAAACCACGAATTAAAAAACGGACCCTGAGGAGGCATACCGCTGTTAGTGTCTGAAATGATCTCATATTTTTTTTCATTCGAGTTCTAACTCAAAAGTTATATTTCGCGAAAAACATCATTCATCGTGTGTTTTTCTCGAAATTCAAAATAATGTTTACATATTTTTATTTGAACAAATCTTTATATTAACAAAAAATTCACTCGTTCAATTCGACAATATTGATTCATCATTACGGGTGAGATTTGAGCTTCCGAAACTAAACCGAAGGGGTGATTGAGGTTGAGATTGCCCACATGTCGTCGCGAAAATAGGTACATTCAAACCTAATCGAGACATGAAATACAATTTATAAGTTCCAATCCCTTATGGAGGTCGGGCTTTCAAAATAGCAGTAGCGCAATTATCTATTTAAGGGTAGGAAGTGAATCGCACCTTATCAATCTTTTCCAGAAAAGGATGTATTGTTTATTCAAATTTGGAAAATGATATTAATAATCTCTATAGTTTGGCTCAATGTGTAATGTCATTCGAACTTTTCATTTATTTAATATGTTCCTTGAACTATTTCTAAATATTTAATGTAGTTCTTAAACTTTCAATTGGTTCAATTTAACCCATCAATTTTCCAACAAAACCATATCAATCATTTAATACTATTCACAAGTTTTCACGCTTATATTATTGACCAAATTTTAGATTTTTTTTCTCATTTCAATCATTTTCGTAAATCAACAAAAAAAATATGATATCTTTTTTTTTTAATCTTTTTGGTCCGTATAAATATTACGATAATTCCATTTAAGTAAATTTTAGCTTATGATCTCTCTATTAGTGAAAGTAGAAACTCATTTAATTTGTACGAGGTTGGCATTCTTGCTATTTTGTGTAGTGTTTTCCCAAGGAAATCTACAAACGATATTAATTCGTACTTAATATATTTATTCGTACTTATATTAATTTAAATGTCGTTCCTTATATTTCATAAAAACATGTATCTTTTCTGCAAGTGCACTAACATCAGAAGAAAAATAGAAATAAAATGTTGAAAGAGATAATTTTAGAATAAACTAATAAAAGCACAAAAGACAAAGAAAATAATATGAACCTCTATATTTCCTTTTCGAAATGGAGTTTTTTGGGGGAAATTTTGACCTTCATAGATCAACTTCCTTTTATGTAGAATTATAACCTAATTATTTTCCTTTGGCTTTTTTTTTTTTTCCCCCCCCACCCGCCCAGGGCGCCTGCCCCGCCCGACAAAGCGAGGGCGCCTGAAAAAAACGGTTTAAAGAAAAAAAAAAAGAAAAAAAAAATAAAAATAATAAAAATTGAAAAAAAAAATAAAATATATCGTCGGAAAATTGTCACATCGTATTCGGATGATAGTAACGGGAAAACACCTCAAAAAAGTCACATAGCTTCAACTTTATTGAGACGACTACTTGGAGGCATTATTATCCCTTTAACTTTTTATATAATTCGCGCTTTGGCTTTTTTTTTTTCTGAAAAAACTATATCGTCGGAAAAACATCGTATTCGGATGATAGTAACGGGAAAACACCTCAAAAAAGTCACATAGCTTCAACTTTATTGAGACGACTACTTGGAGGCATTATTATCCCTTTAACTTTTTATATAATTCGCGATTTCAAAACGTTAGATGACGTTGATAGGCCGCCGAATTGTGCACGTCAAAAAGATGTGTGCGCATCATAACTGGCCACTTTTTTGAGAAAATTTCAAATAAAAGTTTAAAATGCTCTTATTTTCTCAAATAAAGATCTGAAGTTGACATTGTTTTAAATAAGGGTATGGAGTGGCCAAATTATCTCAAATAAGGGCATGAAGTAGCCTAATCATCTCAAATAAAGTGGCCAAATCGCCTCAGATAAGGGCTTTTGGCTCGATAGTGACTATTTCGGCCATCAAAGAATGGGTATTTTAGTCAAAAAAATTTAAGTATATATATTTTTTTAATTTTTTGATTCTTTTACTTTACTTTCCTGTCCTTTTCCCTTTCCTTTTCTTTTCCTTTCTTTTCTTTTTTCTTTTTACCTCTTCTCTCCCTTGGCCATCGCTAGTGTCGGGTGAAGGCAAGGGTTGCCCTCACTGATGTCTAGTAAGAGTTGCCCTCGCCTGGCTAGCCAACTTGGGTGAGGGCAAGGGTTACCCTCGACCTTGCCAGTTCAGGCGAGGGTCGCCTCACCCGGGCTGGGCGAGTGAGGGCAGCCCTCGCTTGAGTCCGGCAGAGTAAAGAGTAAAAAAATTAAAAAAAGAAAGTAAAGAACGAAAATTCCCTTCAGCTAGCAAGGTTGAATCTTTTTTTTAGACTAATATAGTCACTTTAGGGTCTTATTCGAGACAAGGTCCACTTTAGGCATTTATTTGAAAAAATGATGGTACTTCATGTCCTTATTTGAGAAAACGATGGAACTTCGGGCCTTTATTTGGAATTTTCCCCACTTTTCTTTCCATCGGTGCTCAGAGTCATTAGCTTATTGATGCGCATTTGTCGAACATATGTATGGAGGAACTTCGCGAAAATGCCACTCGAGAGAACTAATTTGGAAATGTTCCTACATATATAGGCGATAGAAATTAAAAAGACCCAATTATATAATATATAATATATTATATTCTCCCAAAGAATGCAAAAAACGAAGGTCTATTGCTAGTATATGGGCTTGGGCTCAACCCAAACCCCACGCAGGAACACGAGCCCTTCTCCTTCTCCTTCTCCTTCTCCTCGGCCTTCTCTACACAGGCTACGGCCGCCTCTCTTTAGCACGCTCGTCACTCCGTCGTCGGTCGGCCTCCCGGGACGGCGAACGCCATTCCTCTGCAACCGGTGAGTCTCTCTCTCTCTCTCTCTCTCTCTAGTATTGATGCGGTAGAGCGACGCGTTGCTTTCGTTGTCTACGAATTTTGGATATCTGGAACGAGCCCGTGGTGATAGATGTGTTCTTGTTTCAGAGAAGAGACGAGAGAGAGAGGGAGAGGGAGAGGGTGGTAGATAGGATAAAGGGTCGGAAGGTGAGGGAGTGGTTATGGGGAAGGCGGTGATTGGGCTCTCGTGGGAGCCAAAGCTGCCGGCTTTGACGTCTTCGCTCGCCCCCGCGAGCAGCAGCGGTTCCGGGTCGGGCCCTAAGCCCGAGAAGAGGCGACCGGGGAGCGAGAGCGGGGTTCTTTGGAAGCCGAGCTCGGAGCTGATTGATGGGCTGTTTGTGCCGCCCAGCAATCCCAAGAAGCTGAATAAGCTCCTGAGGACGCAAGTCAAGGACACTGCTGGTTCTAGTTGGTAATCCCATCGCCCTTCTTCTTCTTATCAATTTCCTTTTGCCATACATATTTGCTTGCAAAAAAAGGATGGGAGAGTTGTTTGATGCAAAAATTGGAATGCAGACCTCATTGTAAGGGTGGATATCACTTTCTGGGTATTGGTTGCGATATTTTGATTGTTTCTGCTTAGTTCATTGATGGATTATGAAAGAGGCGCGTGAATTATGTACTGCACCGGGTTGCGACTGCTGGTCGCATCCAAAGTAGCTAATTTGGTACGATGTATATTTGGGAGGCTTGTTGTATCTTGTGGATATTTTGATAGGAGGACTGTTTTGAATAGGTTCGATATGCCTGCCCCAACTATTACGCCGGAATTGAAGAAAGATCTGCAGTTACTAAAGGTAGGGTGATCTTGCCTGTAATCGTTTGCTTTTGCTTTCCCTCTTTGATTTATTTGACTTCTGGTTCAAAGGATTCGGCGGCTAGGTCTTGGGCCTTCCGTCTTCAACTTTTGTTGGTTCCCCCAAATTGTTTGGTTTATGTCTGCTCTGTTGCAGCTACATGTCTTTTTACTTCGCTAGGCGCAATGGATCATACCTTACTTATCCAAATGAGCAAGATGTTTCTGTCAATCTTATCACGAGTTTTGTTGAAGATGGAAACCAGTAAATGTTCCTTTGAGAGGTTGATGGAATTTTTTGTATAGAATAAAGATCCACAAGAATGTTGATTATAAGGAAGAACGTGCCTGAATTAACTTATACTTTTCGCTTAATCTGATTTTTGCAGCACACACAGTTTGACTTAAATGTAACCCAAAACAATTGAAACTTTCACAACATATAGATTTTGACATTTAGATAAATATAGAAATTCTTTTATAATTTTAATTTCCAGTATACCTTTGGTTTTCTCCTAATATGCAGGCTTGGCTTAGAAAACATTCTCTTGTTGTTGCTGGAAAGCATTCTTGCATATGACCTCCAGTAAGCGCTGGGCAGCATAGTGTTGTTCGTGCAGATTCTGAATATATTATGCATTAATTAGCCCGAGACTCGTGGCATTGAACTTTTCTTCATCTCTATGCTGTATGAGGGGTTGTGGGATATACATGGCTTCCTACCGTTAGTTCTAGGTGCAGTACAAAAAACTTCAATGTATCTGACCATCAAAATATGCTGATTTTGATAACTTAAGGAAAGAGTATTTGACAGTGAGTGTGACATGGCTTATTAGGGCACTTTATTTGTTTGCATGTGAGAGTGAGATTACTGTTTGCGATTGATGATAGAAGTTGTATGTCCAATAGAGCTGATAGACTTTTCAATGAAAATCATTGTACATGTTGATTTGCTTAATTATCTTATTTTGATGAGTCCCTGACGATCATTTTGAGAATGAGGTCTAAAATAATCTAATAAAGAGATTCTATAATTTGGTTAACTCAGTTTAAGCCAAAATTCAAGTTATTGATGGATTCAGATTGTGATGCCAAAAGAGTTTCTTAAAGTCTGTTATGGATCTGCAACACACAAGTTGATGGAGGAAACAAGAATATTTAAATGACTGAGAAATAAAGAAATATTGCAACAAAATCATGTTACGTCATAGAAGAAATATAGAAATCTTTTCTACCTATGAATCGAGTTGAAAGCAGTTTGTTTTCCTTCAGACTATGTATGTCTTGGAGGACACGACTTTTAAATAACTTCTATCCAAACATCGCAAAAATTCTTTGCAGTCGAATTCATACCATAAGTATCGTGTACAGGATTACATATATATATCGAGCGAAGTTCATCAAAGTTGTTTCAGTGAGTAGCTATCCTTCTGTTGAATACTCAATTCACATTAACAGCTCTTGTAAAAATATCAAGAGAATTGGTTACGGTGATGGATGATCTCCAGATCTTGAATTACATGAGTTTTCATAGTGTTGGCTTATGCTTACTGTACTTTAATGGTGTGAGTCATCTGTTCACTAACCTTTTAAAGTTATTACTTCGCATAATGCTTTTTACCAGAGGCATCTGTTTATTGAACTAGCTGATTTTTTTTTTATTCGTGTCACAGCTAAGGAGTGTCGTCGACCCAAAGAGACATTACAAAAAGGGCGACTCAAAATCCAAAAATTTGCCCAAGTATTTCCAGGTAAGTGTATCTGCCATGTGGTTGCATATCTAATTGTTTAAGCTTTGTCTCATAATATATAGTCTTGTCAATGATCTATTCAGGTTGGCACAGTGATAGAGTCTGCAAACGAGTTTTACAGTGGTAGACTAACTAAGAAGGAGAGGAAGGCGACACTTGCTGATGAGCTGCTTTCAGATCACAAACTCAGGGACTACAGGTCTGATGTGATTATAATCACTTTGTCTATTGAGCAATTTTGTTTTGGGTAATTGCTACCATGACAAACGTTGGATAAAAGAACCAGTGTTGCTATTCTTTAACTCATCCCACATAGTACAAGGGACTCCTATGACTGGTGTCATATAGTTTATAGTTTCTTTACTTTCCTTTTTGAGGGGGCAGCTATAGGATATCAAAACTTCACGAACTATTTGTTGGATCCTAATATATGTCATCACCAAGGAATCTTCGTTCCAGCTTGGACGTATGCAGCATTAATGGTTACTTATAGTTACACTCTAACCAAATCTGGTTGTATCTTTCTAGAAAGCTGCACCTCTACCTTATTGCTGATTTTTGGCTTAGCGCGCGATTTACCTTCCAGGAAAATAGTTATCCATTGATTGCCGCTCTGTTGGGACCCTCTTCAAGGAAATACCATTTGACGCCACCTGTTATCCGTGTCCAGCTATTCTTCACAATCCGAATTTAAGACTGCTTATGCCTTCTTGTGCCATTACTTTTCAGGAAGCGCAAGGTTCGGGAGATAGAAGAGGAAAACAGGCCTGCTGGAAATGAGAAATGGAAGATAAAAGGTCGACAATCGATGAGGCGTGCTAAGCAACGGAGGCACTGAATTTAATGACTACAACGTGCTGCCAAATTTTGCATCTGGTGAGCACATGTACTAGGATGTTTTTTCCATCGGAAACCAGAAGGGAGAGGACCGTCACTTGCGCTGTATTAGATCTGATTGATAGATTCTTTGAGAGAAATTTTCCTCTAGTTTATTTGTATGAAATCGACTCAGTTTCTAAGATTGCACACTGGTTTTGGCTGTTGTAAGAAACCCGGAGGTCTATGTTGAGGACTTTTTTACTCTTGGCTGTAACTTCATTCATTCAACTAACAATCATAAGCCTAAGGAAAATTGTTGAGGAAAATTGTTTTGTTCGGATGACGAAAAACTAATCGATTTACGAAAAATATTTTTTATGAATTGAAAACAAGCTTAAATTTTCCTTCTAGTGAAACAATTGCGCACATACTTACGATATCATTGTGTGATCATGGACAGACTTACAAATTCAAGACCTCTACCATGAAACTGTCCTATTTCATTACCTTAACCATCACACAGGCGGCTCTGTACTGTACTTTAGCTATTACGTGCAGTTCATATTTCTAGGTTTGGATCTTCACAGATCTCTGGATCCAAAGTAAAAATTGCTATACTCGGATATTTGAATTGCTTGGAGGATAACGGACCGTCATCGAGAGCCCGACATCATGGTTAATTAGTTACCATCTTGAAAGGTACTAGCCGGTCGATGGCTCGTGCATTGAATGAATCAAATTACAATGAATTTGCCCTCAAAACCATGTGTGATCAGCTATTCCGGCAGTCAGGCCCAAAAAAAAAGAAAAAAATTGGATAGATTCTCATTGATTGCAAAATGTGTGACGCTAGGATTTGCTTTTCTCTGCGTTTTCTAGTTTCCCTACTCTCGATAAAAAAGTTTACTCCGAAATATGTGTATTATAAGCTATCGTGAATCATATGGCATGGCCGCCAAGCTGCGTGCGCCCGATGTGCGACAACCTTGATGTAGAAATGAGAGGCGCTTCCTCATCAACTTTGGAGTCGGAGCCTGACAAACTCCCAGCAATGCTTCCTCTGTCATTATCATCGTTGCTGTTCGGTACGTATATATCAGATGACTTCTTCTCCAGTTTCCAGTCCTACACAAACAAAACAACACATGCAAAATTGTCAGCGTGTTAGGGTTAAGATGGCGATCAGGCACAGCTGAAAGGCCCGCAACCATGACTTCTTTTAAATGAAAAAGGTGAATTAAATTGAAAGATCATATCATAATCCATATTAGTCCGTTGGGGGTCGAATCTGCATGGGGGAGTGCGGAAGGAATACGATATCATTGAAGCTGAAAGTAGAATCAGTGTTACAGAGTAAATGATAAGCTACCCGAGCAACCTTCTACAGCCTAAAAGCTTCAATGAATGAATTGACAGCAGGAAAAGGGCTAAAGGCGAACAATTTATCAAGGAAAATAACGGATTATGAATACATGACACAATCCAGTACCAAACTACAAGAGAGAATTGAGGATGACAACTGAGACACGATGGATGTGCACAAATGTTTCTCAACGCAAACAGTCTCAGGGCATGAGTTGGAGTTTTGCACCATAGAAGGGGAAATGTTTGTGGCAAAACAGCATGTAGAGCAAGCATTAAACTATGTTTTCAGAAGAAAATCCACCAATCCTTGGTCACTAAATTGTGCAATCAACAGCAAAGAATGCAACATTGAATACAGTTGCACCTCCTATCTTTTGGCTGAAACCAGTCAGATATACCAATGCAAATTATCTCTCAATTCTAAGCATTGACATGAACATTGGATGCATTGGCTAAATACATGAAAGAGGTAAGTTATGTCCAGTTCAGAACGGAACCCCACGATAATAGATACGTATGAGAAAACTAACCTTTGCCATTCTTTCCACAATACCATCAGAAGGTGCTTGGGAAGCACGGACATCCTTCACCTTAATGTAATTGTACATAACAACACCGCAAAGAGCTACAGCAAACAAAAAGGTTTTACTGCAGTTAATTCACAAGCACATATTAAGTGCAAGAATAATGCATAATTTGTGTCTTGATTAAGGTAAAACTCTACCAATTGCATAGCCGACTATGTTCAGCCCTGTAATAATAGACTCTGGAAACACAACAGTTGAAAGCGCAATCAATATCCAATCTTTTAGGACACCCGCGACCCGAATAGTAACTGCACCAGTTCGACCGATAACCAAGAAAATGGAGAAGTTCAAGGCTAGAGCACAAAGAGCATTGGAGAAAAAGATCCAGAAGTTGAATTGAATCTGTGGAACTTCCATTTCTGGCTGCTCCAGTAGATACCAAGGAATAAAGAGGAAAACGAAACTGCATTGACAAAAGTATAAACTAGTGAGTAACTTTGGCAATCAGATTCAGATACCTCTCATTTCTTCTTTGTGACGAGAATCCATAAATGTAACAACAGGATTTTCCCTCTGTGATGGGTAAATTTACAGAAAGGAACAAGAAGAGAGTAATCAACAGAGCACGAAATAAGTCATTGGAGTATCATCTAGACATTCTTTATAAAGATTTTATAGCAAGTATGTTCAACAAACAAAATGGTAAATGCTGAACCTTGATAAATCAAGTCCTTAAAAGTTGATTAGTTGTTCATAAAAAATATCAGTGAAGGTTAGTTGGATGACAATCCTTAAAATAACGTAGATCTGTTTTCTTTTTGTTTCCCTATAAATGCATACTGCAGCAAGCCCAAGAAGTCCTCTATTTTCTGAAAGTAATAAAGGCATACCTGCATGGAGCTATATAATATAAGCTGGTAATTGGATTTAGAGTCAAGCCCTTCTTCTGTAGGAGGACTTGTGTTAAAACCAGCCTAAGCGCTTCAGCAAAGATGCCTGTAACCTGGTAGAGGGTCCCTATTACATTAAAATGAATTTCCCCATAGGAGGAAATGACGACTCCAATGCTGACGAGCACCATGTTTGAGAACACGTCGCACCTCAATTTATCCGTCCCACACAGAACAGCCATACAGAAAGTTGCCACTGGCACTGTATCAAGAAATTGCAAATAAGTAGCCAATTAAGAACGAGCGAAACATAACAATAGAGCACTTCCTCACATACTTAGGGCTTTTAGCATCTGGATGAAGGCTACTGAGATATGCAAGAAAGCAGTGTTACCAAACCTGCAAGTAGGAAATGAAGAAGAAACCAATCACTAAATGACTAATACAAAATGTGAAGTTCTCTGTGCAAGTAAGAATTATACTCCAAAGGTTTTCGTGCTTGAGAGAACTCACTATCAGGTTCCATCTCTCCATGCAACTACCACTATCTATAACGAAAGCAAGGAAAGAGTCTCTAAGAAAAATGTTTTTCTAACATTTCTGTCCCTAGTCAATTTAAAAAGGGAAAAAAAGAAATCGAAATAGAAAGCACATTAAGATACACTACTGGTTTTCTTGCTCAAAGATCAAACTGCAAGTAGTAAATGAAGAAGATAGCAATCACTAAATGCCTAAAACAGAATGTGAAGTTCTTGGTGCACGTGAAATCACACTATAAAGATTTCTATGCATGTTAGAACTCACAACCAGGTTCCATCTCAATGCAACTACTAACTATCTACGACAAAAGCAAGGAAAGTTTCTAAGAAAACTAGCTTTTTAACATTTCTGTCCATAGTCAATTTAAAAAGGGAAGAAAGAAAACCCTGAGCATCCACTCAGGACTACTAATCGAAATCGAAAGCACACCAAGAAACACTATTGGTTTTCAAGCTCAACTGAGGTCTTAGTCATGACAAATGGCTGAAATACAAATTGGTGAATTTGTGGCCAGCAAGATGTATCAACTAAAGCAAACACTAAGAAGAGGATTTTTCTAAAATAAGACTTTATGATACAAATACTTCCGCCAATCACGGTTGATAGGATTGTGATCCAGATTGAAGGAGCACATCATGATCTAGGATCCAATTGGCATAGGTCAATGATGGTAGCTTAAAAGATAATTAAGATTGGAATACAGTGAGATGACGAATAGAATCAGAATAATACTCCCAAACCCAAACCGGAAAATCATAGTGTCATTCATTCACGTTAGTCCTTCTCAACCACATAATATTTAAAAATTGAAAATAAATTTCTCATTGCATGCATTACATCTTAAAACAAGTTTTTAGGCTCAATTTGACAAATTAGGTTGGCTGAAGAATCTGTCCTTAGGAAGAGAGCTACGGTTGGGACCTTCTTCCCCTACTATTCTTTTGTCTTCTTCTGCAAGCTGGTGGCCTCTAGGCTTGGTTCCTTCAACTTTGTAAGCTGTACGTAAACAGCAGCAAACTGCAATTCCTCTATTGTCTACAACTTTCTCCTCCCCCTCTGTCCTCCTGTCTTCCTCTACTGCCATAATGTGCCAGTGCTTCCCTTAAGTTTGTCTCTGTTTTTTTTTTCCCCTTTTCAGTGCTAAAAGGAAGGAAGATGTTGTGATCCATGAAACAAGTGAGCGAGATGATCGGCTATTACAAAGATTTGGATTTGGAGGGGTTTCCACACTGGCGAGCAGATGATTTGGTTGAAAAAGACTGTCATGACAATGCTGATGAACTCAAGGACAATGAAACCATTTTGGATTAGTCTACGGTATATGTTCCCACAAAGGACCAATGTCCATAGATGATGTGGAAAATGTTAGATTTTGAAGTTTCTATTTTGATTTTGGTCGGACATGTGGTTTGTTGTAGTACTTGCGTGTCATGACAAGAATGGAATGTCAACGGGAGCTAAGTTAAGCTATTTTATTTCTTGGAATAACGTTTTCTTTCAATTACTTTGTCATACTTAAATTAAAAAGGGGAATTCAATAATTTGTAATGTGGCCTTCTTGAAGGAGATCTCAACCACAAGCTTTCATATTATGCGGGTGACTGCATGGAATAAAGTAAGACCCTCAAGTTTGAGGCCTCAACTGGATGAACAAATAGGATCTTAGAATCCTTGATATGGACCTACCACACATTCTTAAGACACATAGGATCCCAATGTGATTTACATAGGATACACACATTCCCCTTTTTAATTTACATAGGATCCCGATGTAAACAACCTTAACTGTATTATTAACCAAAGAAGTGATTCTACTGAAGCATACTCACATGCAACAACATGCTGGTCTACACACATCATTACTCTACGAGCTAATTCAAATGATAGTAACATTATACATATGGTATAGCAAAGGCAGAAACCCAAGTTCAACACTGCTAATCTAGAAAGTG